CAATCATATGAAATGAAACGCTGTGGGCAAAATTCACTGTTACTGGTGTTAATGAAGATGGTACATATAATTACCACTGTGCTTCAAACGGTTGAGGAAGCACGATAAGAGAAGTTGGGGGGGGGGATATGCCAACAGAAATTGCTCAGAGAAGCAAACGGAACACATAAAACAGTAACTTAAAGCAAGAAAATGCTTATGCAGACTTACATTAATTTCTTCTTGGATGTGTCGCCGTGCAGTTTGGTAGACAGGAACTGACGTTTCCTTGTTCGTGGTACAAGAGGCAAAAGAAATGAAATTCTGCCTTTGATGGCAAATTCAGAGATGGACACTGGTTGTACAGTGAAGGGGCTTATGTAACATGATTTGAAAGCATGGGGGAAGGACACTGCCGTGGCCGATTCAAGCTATCCAGGAAGAACTGATAAAACCATGAAAACTCTGTCAAGATAGCTTGTAAATATAAAATCACTGTAAATACTGTCAAGGGGTTTCTCTAACTGACAAGTGAAAAATAATTCACAGTAATTTTGAATGAACAATAAAAATGATGCTCAGCTGTTGGTAACCATGGCAACTGCATTTATGCATGTACTGAGTGGGCATATTTCCGCCTCACATTTGGGCCCATGTCACGAGATGGAGCAGTTACATTTACTGTCACTCTCGCCAACCTGTCGGAGGCAATTGTAAATAACCCATTGAGATTGGCACTACTGTTACGTTTCGCTGGTTCATCCTTCCTATACCAACTGTATAATAAACTGACTTTGCTAAAAACTCTTCGGCGCTTCTGTTTCCTAATAACCCTCAGAAATAATAATTACAATTTAAGGTTAATTAGAAATAATCCCATTAAGTGGGATCCTATATGTTATTCTCCAAGCAACTGGGTGCCCTACCTAATAACAGTTTATAAATAATAATTGTAATTAAAGACTAATTAGAAATAATCCCATTATGTGGGATCCTATAAGTTATTCTCCAAGAATCCTGGGTGCCCTACCTAATAACGGTTTATAAATAATAATTGTAATTAAAGACTAATTAGAAATAATCCCATTATGTGGGATCCTATATGTTATTCTCCAAGAATCCTGGGTGCCCTACCTAATAACGGTTTATAAATAATAATTGTAATTAAAGACTAATTAGAAATAATCCCATTATGTGGGATCCTATATGTTATTCTCCAAGAATCCTGGGTGCCCTACCTAATAACGGTTTATAAATAATAATTGTAATTAAAGACTAATTAGAAATAATCCCATTATGTGGGATCCTCTATGTTATTCTCCAAGCACCTGTTGACCCTGTACCAACTAAAAAATAACAAACTGACTTTGCTATATACCTATATAATAATTTAGCTTTTCTAATTTAAATAAGATATGAATGGGCAAATGGAATAAATGTGGGCGAAAGGGGTTATGACCAGCCAGTGCTAAATAAACTGAGCAAAAAATCAAGATGTCCATAAAGATGGCAGGTACAGTGCTGAGCCCTGGAATATTACGTCATTGGTGGTAGAAAATGGCTGAAATACAAGCAGTGATAATGCACAAGCGGGATAATTTATATAATTAATAAATAATAATTATTTAATTCTGGTCAGCAATATATGCGTCTAAATGTCTGACAATATAATCTGGTAACAAAATTACCTTAAACCGTAATAGTCAATGCAACTGTTAATGTGTAATATTTTAATTTAGATTATTTTTATATCCATGTTTCCGCCAAAATAAAAATTAAAAATGTCTACCTGTGCTTGCAGTTAAGGCGCCATATTTGCACAAGTCGTAAAATTATAATTACGCATTTTACGGCCACTAATTGGCTCGATGCTACTGGAAATTTTACAAACAAATTTTAATGGACTTACAAATAAATTATTCGTTTCGAATTCGTCTGTTATTTAACACTTTCTTTCATTACGAAGTGGCGCCCAAACGGCTATGAACTTTGCAACTAGCATTTCATGCTAATGAACGAACATTTTAGTAGTGATTACGCAGTTCACAATCTTGTAATATGCAATTTAATAAGAAACTACGATTGAAGAATTTAAGGAATTACTGTCAAAGTTACAACGAACGTCACATCTTTACTATTAAACATAACGCAACTGGTGGTACCAACACACGCTGCGCAACAAGTAAACGTTTGTAAAGTCATTTTTGATACTTTTAGGAGACATTTAATTTCATCGAATTAATATGAAGTCACACGTACCTGAAAGATACCTAATTACCACAATTTACGGCTCTGGACACTGATTTTCCACAAAAAAATACTGAAAAACTTGCTGACCGGAACCTAACTGCACTACACCCTGCGTGCGCAACAGCTCTCTGCCGCCTTAGTTCGTGTAACCCGGGGCCTTGCACCGAGATGCATCTTGATGACGTCATATCCATAGTGCCCCGCCAGTTGGAGTGAGGGATCGTAAGAAATATTATAGTGAAATCAAAATCAGCTGACGTCACACTCAGATATCCCTGCATGCAGGAGTAGTTCCGTTGTTCCGCATATTAAAGTTCAGTAACTGTAGAATTACATCATAATTATTAATTGGTTACAAAACCGCGTCTCTCACTCACAGTGATGAAGGATGGCAATTCAAAGCAGGGCGCCGAGAAGAATGTAAGGGAGGGAAAACTGGCAAGACAATGACGATAATTAAATACTTACTTACTCATGGAGCTGAGCCCTTCTGGAGGAGCCGCCAATTCTGCCGCTACTCAATTTCCCAGCCTTTTATGGAACCCGAAGGTTCATCACTGTGTTCACAAGAGCCCTCCACTGGTCCCTATCCTTAGCCAGATCTATCCAATCCATACCATCACATCCTATCTCTCTAGGATCCATTCTAATATTGTCCACCCACCTATGCCTTGGTCTTCCCTGTGGTCTCTTTCCTTCTGGCTTTCCCACCAATATCCTATACGCACTCCTCGTCTCCCCCATTCGTGCTACATAACCTGCCAACCTCATCCTCCTTGACTTGAGTATTCTAATTATACTTGCAGAAGACTAGAAGTTATGAAGCTCCTCACTATGCAGTAATTTTGACCATAAAACATGAAACAAATTTTAAGTTATCTAAGCAGGCCAATGCAAAATAAGGATTTTCAGTAAAAACTAATTATTTTTAACTTGCAGTCATAATGGATACCACTGCTATGTCACAATGCCTGTTATTAAGAGTAATATTTGAAAAAAATGAACAGTTCTGTACTGTGATAATTACAATACATATGATTTCTCTGTAGAGTGTAAAGTAACATAAAATGCAAGGCTTTAGGTTTTCATATCAGTTCATATTTTGAGTATCATACCATTTCAAAGTGATAAACATTACTGATGTTTCAGTGGAATTTTTTTCATCAAAAATTCCAGTAATGCTTGCCACTTTCACATGGTGTAATACCCAAAAGGCTATCTAATGATGTGGAACGATGTACTTGAACCAAAACAGTCAAGCATCAGCATAACCTCACATGCATGTGTTACAAACCACAATAATTGTGTTTAAATACTGATATTAAGAGAACAGTTTACAGCAGAAGGGGGATACTGTTTTTGGCATCTTCACGATGGGCAGCCTATCAGCTTTACCACAACTGTCTGTCTGTCCACAATCTAAGAGCAACTAAATGGATTTCATGATATATGACATGAGGTTTTCTAAAACCTGTCAGAATATTCTAATGTTAGTTAAAATGAGAAAACAATAACAGAGAGTTTCATGAAGACCTATGCATATTTATGCATGAATCGAATGTAACTCAATGCATATTTATTGGAACAAAGAAAAAGTTTTGTACAGAAGTTGTACAGAGCAATAAAAACACACATTTTACATCTAGTTCAATTTTCTCACAATTCTTGCATTTTTTTAGATAATTAAACGAAAGGGAGTGAAGGTGCTAGAACTGACATACTACGCATACATTTTCTTCCTTGTTTAAATCAATAATTTCCTATGATAGTGGAATCCTCAGAAGATACCAAAGGTGTGACATTCAGATGACAGCTCAACCCATTACTGAAATGTAAGCCACACTGAAGCATCTCTTTAAAAGCTCCCAGAATCGATGCTTTGAAATTATTTTGGTTCATGCTAGATGTCATTAGATACCAGAGGGAACGTGGTGGGACGATTATCAGCTTCCCCTGGGCATGGTACAGTCTCCAGATATTTTACTGTTATGTCATGTCACATTTCATTTGGTGCAAAAATAATTTCTGTTTTCAAAGTTGTCAAGACTCTGCCAAACAGCATCACCATCTCGAGCCAGAATCTGAAATGTTATACATCCTGTTTACCCACTGTGCAAGAGAAATACGTCAATGGCATTGGTATTCTGATCTCTTGGTCCAGAGAGAGTACAATGCCATAACCTACCATACTAGACCTAACAGCAGTAATCTTACAAAAATGAAACCCACAGTAAACTTCAAAGAAGTAGGAGGTTGATGTATATTATCCTAAAGTATTTCTACGAAAGTTTTACACCATATAGTACCACGCAACGAGAAGGTTGAAAGACTGTGAACTGTTAATATTTATGGAAAGCTTCTCTTTTCTACATCAAGAGAAAATTATTACAATCTTTGAACTGGCAGTACTAGAAATATGTTGCTTGTTGTTACTGCGAATGCATGGAGAATGCCTGTTTCATAATGATTTCTCAGTTATGTCATATTTACTACCAACAGAAGAAATGACTGTGATTTTCAAGTTGGACAGAAGAAGCTGCATTTTTGATCAAGTGAAGTGAGCCTTACAAAGCATCAGAACATGTTGGTGATCTGAGAAAAAATTTGCTTCCTATCTGAAAGAACCAACATAGAACTTACACAGGGTCGATAAGAAAAATCACAATTTCAAGCAATCAACATTAACAAACTACACAGAGCTAAGCCCTTCTTCCGAAGCTGCCAGTTATGCAGCTACTCAAGAATTTCCCAATATTTAATGGAACCCCAAAGTTCATTTCCATGTTCACAAAAGCCCTCAACTAGTCTCTACCTTGAGCCAGATCAATCTAGTCCATACCAGCCCTTCCTCTCAACCTATGGTCCATCTTAATATTATTCTCCCACCTTCATCTAGGTCTTCCTAGTGGTCTCATTCCTTCTGGCTTTCCCACCAAAATCCTATATGTATTCTTATTCTCCCCATACATACATATATTTCACACCTCACAAGTCCAAAATACAATGGATATGAAACTGGTCACAAGCATAACACAAACAAACAAAGCAGAAAGCCAATACAAAGCTAAGCAAACACTGTAATTATTTACTGTACGCTCCAAAAATTCATCAATTGTATAAAATGAGTTATTAATGAGATATAAAAATGAATTATTTTTAAAACTGATTCTATCCTTTCTAAGACTTTGAATGGTCTTTGGCAATCTAATAAATAACCTAATAGCAGTAAACATAGTGCCCTTCTGGAATACAGAAAGATTTGAAGTTGGAATATAAATTTGATTTTTGCTTCTAATGTTCAGACCATGAACCTCTGAACCTGAACAGAAATTATTTTGATTATCTACAACAAACAACATCAAAGAAAAAATATATTCACATGAAAATGGTAAATATCTTGTTTCTTAAATAGACTTTTACATGAGTCTCTGGGTCCCACTCCCAAAATGATCCTTATTACTTTCTTTTGTAATTTAAATGTGTCCTACATTCCCTGCCCATCTCATCTCTTTGACTCTTGTTAACTCTCGCTGAATTAGCTTGGTCTCAAGTGAATAACTTCAAGTCACCCCTTACAGCGGGTGGTTGGTGGCGGAGGTGCGGCGAATTTTTTTCGATTTTAATAAGAGGGGGATTTTAATAAAAGCTTAGGCGCGTGTCTTAATGAGCGGCCGCAAAAATCTTCCTTCCCCCCCGGTCCCTCCCTTACCGTCTCCCTCTTCACTTCTTCCTCTGCTGTTGCTTTTCTTCACTAATTTCTTCTTTTCATTCTTTTTGACAAAAATCCTATTGGTTTTGAACCAGGGACCTTCTGAACACTAGGTTGATGTCTAACTCCTAGACCACCAGAACATCTATCATCATACCAATCTACGCAATGCAATCCAGATGCTGACAGAACTGTAAAATTAACCACAAAGAAATGTTGGAGGATTTCCAAAAAATTCCCTTTGCATGTCTTATTGCCCAAGCATGCAGAAGGGAATCGTGATGAAATCTGTCAAGAGATCCCAGGACAAAATCAATGTACTGTGCACGTATCCTTGAAGATATTAAAATTTCATTTCGTAGTCTCTTATGTCACGTGGTATTCTAACTACACTGGGCAAGATAAACGGATTACTGTTTATCAGACTTTACAAAATTACAACATAATCCATAAATCATTGCTGACACAACATACTTCTTCCGTAAATCTGCTACCACCACAGAAATACGCCATCTAGCTTCATAACAAAAGTACTTTTCTTATGGTGCATATACAAATATGTTATGGTAGCTTCTAGCACAGTTTATTCATCTGATGAATTCTAAAGGCACTTTATAAGCAATCCTGCATAATGAAATCTCAGGTCTTCACGGTGGTGAAAATTATGACTGTGATTTTCTGAATTATAAGACCATGTAGCTTAACAGGTAGTTACCAGCATTTTGGAGGAACCTGTTACCTCCATCTTCACACTAGAAGTGCCACTACCAAACTGAGTATGGAGACAACAAGCTACACATTTCTATTTCATCTCTATTTCATCAGTTGAGAAGCTATCAATATTTCTTCTTGCTGACAGTCAATTCAGCAAAGAAAGTTATGAAAGCCACTGCATCTCCTAGGAGGAGCAATAAAAATGCTCCCTGAAGTTGATCAAGATTCAGTCTGGCAGGGTCTACGTTTTCATTCAGGATTCGACTTGAGGATATCTGGAGCTGCAGCCTCTCTGACATGTAGTGACGGATGACATCACCCTCCCAATAGAGTGGTAACCCTGCATCGCGTATCCGAGAGACAAGGGTTCTGAAACGATGCATATAGGGTGAGCCCTTGCGCAGCAGGATGTACAAGTGGCTCCAGTATAAAGTCTCTCGCATGATGCGGCGGTGCATGACTGTGCCCTCATTGATATGCGGCTCTGTCGTGAAATGGCCTGTAATCCAGTTCAAATATGAAGAGTTCTATATTCTATTTCAGATATGTGTGCAAATGTACAGTCTGCTTAAAACACAACATTCTTTGATTGGGTGCTTCTTTAATAAAACTTAAGTAAAAATAATTTCTGATTCTTTTAAATGTTACATCAAGAGCACAGCAATGGGTTCTATACACAATAAACTAACAAAGGACAATGAGGTATGCAACTGCACAAGGAAAACGTGGCAAATATTTGAGAAATACACTCTTCCATTCCTGTCACCAAGGACAGTACAAAATTTTAAAGTATTTTTAGGCATGTTCACATCCAAGCAAAGAACATGTTAAAATTGCTTCCTCTTATTTGCATACATAAACCAAGTCATAGATGAATGAATCGACTTGGATTATAACTGATGTTGGAGAATTATGTGAAAACTGTCTAGCTATTCCAGTTTTCATTTCGACCTGGCAATTTTAATGATCACTTTCCATGAAGACCTGCATGAATTTCTATATGCATGTTGAGTGTAACTCTCTAAGTATTTATCAAAGCAAAAATTCATCTAGACATACTTTACATTTTAGAGAGAACTCAAACATATTTTTATGTTAAATACACCTTTCCTTAAGGCTTAATGTTTTCAAAACAATAAAACACAAGTGAGCAAATGTCTCACAATTGTTATTCAACAATGGACAGTGGTCTTCTCAACAAAAGATTAAATACTCTTATTTTATTACACTTAGCATGATTTTAGCCCTGATGCGTTTATTGTGTAAAAAGTGGAAAGATACATTTAAAATTCTTACATTTCTTACTCATCTGCTCTGAATAATCAGTTTTGTTCTATCCATAAAAAGAGTGTAAAAATTTAACATTCATGAAATGAAAATCTATAGGCAACAACAAAGTAAGGATGCCAAAACTGTTACACTAACAGTACATTTCCAAACTTATTTGAGGTATAAGTAAACCGATTCCAAGTGAGAATCATTTAAAGAAAATGAAAAGCCTTGCAATCCTGGGCACTAGAACACAGTAAGTTCCCTTAATGTTTATGTAATGGAAACCATGGCCACGTGCCCGCATCTACCTCACCTCCTTGCAGTCTTTCTATTCCAAACGCCAAATCCCCAGTTCTCTGCCCTATCTCATCCATCTGCTCATTTGTCAAACAACGGAAATTTCTTGTGACTGTTTGTAGGTTGGGATTATCATCTTCCTCAATGGACCATATCCAAGCAACGTGGTTCCCTGCCCATATAATGTTTTGGCTGGCAAGGTCTTCTATCGTCTCAATGGGAGGCTCATATCTGCACAACAGAATAAACGCAAAACACATGCTGGCATTTCAGAATGTCTTTTATGTGCATTTAGATCCATTCAATTTGAGATTCTCACAGACTTGATTATGAAAAGTACTATCTTCTGTTGAACTGAGCTTACTGATGGCTTCTGTTGATTTCAAGCTTGGCCTACTTTTTCACCTTGAAGATGAAGCTGATATGTTCTTCCAAAACTTCGGACTTTCTCCAAATATAAGGTCATTACAACTCAGAAGGCTACACTCAATTGTTTCCTGCTGTTTGATGCCATGTAGTGTGCTAGGAGTTCATAAATTATTTGGAAGAGTATACTCCATTCATCTTCAAGTCCCGAGAGTAAGATAAACTATCAAATAAGGATGATGCAAGCGGACATCTGGTCCCTTGTGTTTCTGTTCTGGGTACACTTACAGCAAATCTTAAACAATTTGTCAAGAAAGAAGTTCTGCATGTTCTTGATTTAATCAGCATCTATATACAAAACTTCCTATGAAACTGACCTGACTAGTCATGTTGATAAGAGACTGAACTTCAATTCCTGCCATGAAGGTTTAAAAAACGAACATAAAATCAATAATTTTCCAAGATCCATAGAGAATGAGTTTATGCAGCTTCATATTTTGGAGGTCTGGTTCAAATCCTGGCCTGAAGACCAGCTATCCTGACTGAAAATTTCATGGCTTTCCTCAGTCCCTTCAGTGAATTACCAATATAGGAGGTTGAAGGTCCCTCAAATTATGCAATAACCACTTTTTTTCCACATCCTTTCAAACTCACTGTTCGCTGTTCATCCTGCCCGTCAACATTGTATAGCCTCAGCTATTGAAAGCATCATTAAATTAACTATAAAAATCAGTTAAAATGCATCTTTAAATTCATACATATGCACCAGCTCTGGTGTTTACTTATTACATAATTCTAATCCTGCACAGTCAAAGTCAAATAAGCACATTCTGGAACACGCCAATCTGTCTGTCATTTGGTCTGCAATTGATGGCTCTCAGACTCAACTGGATGAGTCATTATGACAGTACTACACTGAATTTGATCAAGCCATTTTTATTTGGATGTAGCTTGGATTCTTAAGGGCCATCTCATTAAGTGTCTAAATAAATTTCTAAGCTACTTCTTGAGTCCTTTCTCAAATTTGGATAAAATCTAATGACTACAACTGTAACTGTATTCAAAGTTAATCAGTTAAAAAAAGACATCATCCCTAAATTTCATATATCTACACAATATAAAACACAGACATCACAAAAATATTGATTTTTTATTTGAAATATTTATGAATATGTTAGTCTTACATTTGATAAAATGTAAGAAAAATAACTCATGTCTTTGGCAATGAAATACAGTATCTGTTGTATGGTTGCCTTTAAGCGGCCTCCATAGTCTAGGGGTAACGTTCCCACCTCATGACTCAAGGTACCCAGCGGAGGTCGTGGAATTTTTAAGGGCCGAAAAATTCAGGGAACAAGTCCTCCGGGAGGGACTTTAAGCCGTGGGTCCCGTGTCGTAGATTTACGGCACATAAAAGAACCTCATGTCTCTAAAGAGACCTCTGAGCTAAATTAGGCAAAAAGTTTCCTGCCCAAGTAGTTTCCAATGCCTCCGGTAGATGGGGAAGCATTAGGTACCACTGCCAGAGGACGGACGACCTCACTGACAGAAAGGGACTAATTATCAGATACCACTGCCAGTAGAAGGCTGAAACCTCGCTGGCAGAAAGGGGCTGATAGTGAGCACCAGTACTGGTAGGGTATGGAGACAGTAGAAATTTAAAGGGGGACGTACAATAGACTATTAGTCACGGTGCATGGGGAAACCCACCCCCTCAATACTGAATACTGAATAACTGAATGGTTGCCTTTAGTGCAGTAGGTTTGTATCTGCATTATCGATTTCTTGCATGTATAGTAAGTGAAAATCAAAATTAAAGAGACATGCAAAATCACACAGAATGCATCTGGAAAATAATGTGATCTCCTGACATGCCAACAGGTTTTTCAAACAAATGGTAGTAGTAGCAGTAGTAGTAGTAGTAGTAGCAGCAGCAACAGTGGTGACACTGGAAGCAGCAGTAGTAGGAAAAGTAATATTGTTAAAAGATGTAATATATGCCCATACCTCAGTGATGATAGCACAGAAGCAAGACCCGCATTGTAGGTGTCAGAGATAACTTCCCCTAGGAACTGGAACCAAGCTACAAAATGTCGGGCTGGAACATGCCGAGGTATGTCCGAATCCCACATGAATGTTGGCGCCTGGTTCACCAACATAGCATAAGTGCGTAATGCAGTGTAGTCTATCTGAGAAAATGGGTTCAATCTCTCTTGTGGGTTGCCTGAAATGTGAATCAAGCAGATTTTCCACACATTCACTGGTTACTTCACTGCCAGGTGCATAATATGAAATAGAATTATCAATTATTGTCTTAAGGTCGTGATAATGCTGTATTCATTAAACCCTAACACTGAGAATTAGTGCATCAATTCTTATTTATAGTATCAAAGTGCCCTGAAGCTGTTGCAGCAAGACTGGAGAAGGTGCATTNCGAACTTGAACCAACTCGAGCATCATTTGCTCTGTGCTTCAAGTCGCTACTGATGACGCTGCTTCCGGCATCAGTTTTTGGTGTCTCTCTTCGTCTGATGCCTACCCTTTGACCTGTCCAGCAAGGGAGGCCCTGCCAGTAGCTACGCTACTGCTGGTATAGCTCTCAGGGTCCTTGGCATACTCAAACCCCCTCACCACGATAAGGTGGAGACACCAACGAGGGAGTTCTGCAGTTTATTAAGCATATTTTGAATAATGGTTCATGATATACATGAAAAAATCGATTTTGAGCTTGAATAAGTTTTATTATATGTCTGTATGTTTGAAAATCAGAATAAGAGACAACATTAACATAAGCCTACCACGTCAAAGATAAAAGAAACTATAAGCAAAGGCCTCTAATGTACAGTTCTATCAAAATTAGGCCAACAGTTCTTGCTTTATCAGCTCAAAATCCATATTCCTTCATGGAAAATGTAATGGACATAAAATGTGCATTATTTCTGCTTGAAAATTTTGTTTGAAACATCCTTCACTCCAATAATTTAGAGAGTTATGTTTGAGATGTGTCCAGAAACTCATAAAGATCTTCATGTAAAGTGTCCATTGTTTTGTCTGATTTTAATGAAACTGTATTTAGTAAAACTCTCCCAAATTAAATGTAAATACTTTGTACAACCTTTAGTGTCTGTATCCTGTAGTGTATTAATATAATTCTAATGGTTTTTGTAACAATCAACACAATAAACCACTTCTATAATATATAATGAATAATACCATCTTCGTAAATAAAACATTTGTAAATTATGACCATTTGAAGATAATCCAGGGATAGCAATATGATGATTGGATTTGATTACCAACTTCAATAATATTACCAGTTTTTGTAATTTTGGATTTTATTTCTGAACAATGGTAACCTGCATATAATCTAGGGACTGAAACATGTTCCCATACTATAATAATAAATAACTACTATATTATATGTCGCAAAAGTGATTTGGTGTGTTGATGTAGTATATAAAGACAACTGTAATTTCTATAGTCCCTTCTGCAATGATACTAGGTCACAGACAGACATGACTTCATATCAGGCGTTATTTTTATGAGATTTGGGGTTTTTGTGGCGAATATAACGGGATCTGACGCTGAGTAGTGTCATAAAGTTTACCGACATTTCTGAAAAATTTCTATTGGACCACATATCATCACAATCCAAAAGACTGTCTCTTTGTTTTCTTTATTTTGTGAAGATGGCCTAATAATTTCTCAACCTATTAACAAATTATAATGAAACTTGGTATGAATGCCATGCCATCAGAGGTCGCCCCCCTTTCTGTAGTTTTTAGTTTCCTGCTTAAATTGACATGCCTAGGTACTTGTCGGCAAATCTCTGCAGTTTGTACAGAGTATAAGTGGCCCCTACAAGGCAGGCCCCAACTGCACTCCACATCGCGTTCGAAAAGGGCATCAGGGGCATAATCCAGCCGGGCATTAACTTCGGTCGTGGTGTTATCATGGTCACAGAGCTGCGCATGTGTGATGACGGGAAATCCACCACACTAAAACTGCTGGGCCAAGCATAGAAAGCTGAAAAGCCGATATCCGCTTGATCCATTGCCACGAAGCCAAGCACCCCATTGCCGGTCCCGTTGTCGAAGACATCGCCCCAGTAATTTTCGGGATCCATGTTTAATCTACAATCATAAATGTTACGTTACATGACAGTTATGTCATGTGGTGTATTGTTCCATGTTCTGATGTAAATGTAACATACATGTCACTTCGGAAGCTGCCTCTACTACCTTTACCGGGTTATTCGTCATTATATTCATAATTTATTTTACTGTGTTTCTTTTTTATTTTCTCGTGGTGGTGAAACAGTACAATTGGTACTGGGGCCACGGTTTTGCCTATTGTACCAGTCCCAGATGATAATTGAATTGGCAGGGGAAGCCGAAGTACTAGGAGAAAACCTGCCCCAGTGCCACTCTGTTCACTACAAATCCCACATGACTTGATCCGGGCTCGAACCCGGGCCGCCGCTGTGGGAAGCCAGTGACTAACTGCCTGAGCTATGACGTGGTCCTTTTACTATGTTACTTGCAGCTGAAAATGGTCTTGGAAAAAACATATAGGGATGTAGATTAGAATACTCGTAACCAGCATCTGAATATATTCTAATACCGAGATTTTGGGAATATTTTAATGATCCTCCGGGTTGAATAAGTTGGCAATTACTTGACCACTTGAAATCCTATAAAATTTCTCTGCAAGATTTTGCACCACGTGTCCTTCTGTGATGGATCCCACAAACTTTGCGTTAGTCAGTAAAGCACTTAACTGATATTATTCTTTATTAGATTACTGAAGGCAGGAAAAGATGGGAACAGGGCACTGGAAACCTAAATGCCAATGCCGCCCCCCGGCGCCAATAAATACCTCTCCCTTCCCACTCACATAAGCTCATCTGTCACAAAACACAGGCACAATTAAACTGAGACGAAAACCATCACTGGTACATAATTCGTATATCAGTGTTATGAGTACTTACATTGCTGTATAACTTCATTACATAATTGCCAATTTATGACAGGCATATGAATGAAGATCGCTCAATCACTCATGAAGCTGAGGCCTTCTTGAGATGCTGCCAATTATGCAGCTACTCAAGAACTTCCCAGAATTTTATGGAACCCGAAGGTTCATTGCCGTGTTCACAAGAGCACTCCACTGGTCCCTATCCTGAGCCAGATCAATCCAATCCATACCATCCCATTCTATCTAAGACCCATTTTAATATTGACCACCCACCTACGTCTTGGTCTTCTCAGTGGTCTCTTTCCTTCTGGCTTTCCCAAGAATATCATATATGCATTCATCTTCTCCCCCACTCGTGCTACATGTGATGCCAATCTCATCCTCCTCGACTTGATCATTCTAATTATACTTGGAGAAGAGTACAAGTGCCGGTCACGGTAGCCGAGCGGTCTAAGGCATGCACTGTCTTTGCTCGCTCGGAAGCCGAGATCGTGGGTTCGAATCCCACTCAGAGCATGGATGTTTGTGTGCGTTTTTCTGTGTTTGTCTACAGGTAGAGGGCTTGCGACGAGCTAATCACTCGCCCAAGGAGTCCTACCGTATGTGTAAGATCTAGAAAAACCGAGTGAAGAGAGTTCATGGAGGTAGGCCTAGGCCCACTGGGGCTGTAGTGCCAAGGAAAAAAAGAAAAAGAGTACAAGTTATGAAGCTCATCAGTATGCATGAATGAAATCGTACACCCCCTGAAGCCGCTCGATTCGCCTGTGCTGTCTCACCGGCCCTAGATTGAAAGACCAGGCGGCAGAAGACAAAGCAGGGTACGTCATACCTTGTGCAGGCAACCTCTTTTTCTTTTCTTTTTTAATTCGCTTAGTGGGGGGTGGAGTCCAACTGGGTTCACTCTGCACGGCGGCGACTGATTGGCCTATTGTAGCCGGCCCCGGGTGATTATGATATGGAGAATTTGGTGGAATGAATGTTGGTAGGGGAAACCGAAGTACTCGGAGAAAACCTGCCCCAGCGCCACTTTAATCACCACAAATCCCACTTGACCAGACCCGAGATCGAACCAGGGTCGCCAGCAACTAACCGCTTGAGCTACGGCGCGGCCTATTGCAGGCAACCTTACGGAAAGAAAGTTTGATTTTCCCATCGGAGTATGAATACCGAAAGCATGTTGAAAACAGAATCTAATAACTGTTCTAATTAGTAACGGTTTACGTCACTAACCGAAGACGACGCACCCCCGTTCCCATAGTAGACGGAGCTAGCAATATATAAGACCACGAAGACGGAGGAAACTGGACTTTGGGCTGGGCAGACATTAAGTTGCCTAAGCCGAGAACGCAATACGATAAGAACTCTATGCGTAGGCTTATAATTACATCACTTGCCTGAATGAGGAGTTGATGTGTCGCATGAACTCTAGTACAATTCGGAACTCAATGCCGTCATATATTGTTGGACATGCATCAAAATCCAGAATTACAAATGGCGGGTAATACCATGTAACAAGATTCAACTCTTTCCCTTTCACATCCCTCGTCTTCTCAGGGAAGAGATCTGCAGACTTCAAGAGCTTCCCACTGCAGCCACACGTACCTGGTATCCAAATATCAAGAAGCATACTCTCTGAACTTTCAGAACCTGTGAATCTGTGTGTTCGAAGTTCAATCTCAAATTCGTAACTAGCAGTTCCTATAATTTTCAATGAATTGCTTCCTGCACATTCTCTTTGTTTCGAATTATTTGTGTTGCAAAAATCCAGTGTCTTGAAACAAGTATCATTACAAAGTTTAAAATGGTCATCGACTTTTATTTCAATTGCTTTGTCTTCATTCCTTACAACTTTTGCAACCAATAGGTCCGGCATATAATCCATTTCCTTCATTTTGAACATATCTTCTGCACTGCCTGTACTATCCGAGACATCTGACCGTTCTTGTACAAAAGGCAGGTACAAATACTGTCTATTTGCTCTGAACATTGCTCTGCGTGAAGCTCTTGCAAAGCAATGGACGACAGCTTTTGGGTTTGAGACTTGAATTACATATACTGGACAACCAGCATTTAAAGATTCGATTAAAAGTCCCTCAAATTTCAATGTTCCATTATTCAGAATGGCGTAATTCAGCGTGTCACTTTCTTCCAAATCTGAAATTGACGAATCCTTTCCCCTAACTTGAATGAGATATCTGAGAAGTGATTTTGGGATGTACTCTACAATATCAGGACTCTTCTCTGTGATTACTCCAACGCATGTAGCGTTCCGGAAATATTTCAGTATTATACTCTGCGTCATTTCTCCGATCGAGCTCATTAAAGCGTCTGGGTTATTTCGGTGGCCGGACGCCGTCGCCAGGAACTGCAGGAAGATAAGAACTGTTCCCATTAGCTCCCAGAACGGCCTCACACGGCACTGTTCCATCTCTGTGACCGAAAAGAGTAGTAAACAGGCACGAAGTGATACAGAGGAGTCGCCCACGCGATTGTATCAATATTAATTCAGTTTGAACTTTGAAGCATGAGACACATGACCAACGGCGTATTATAATCCATAATTTAACAGTTCATTCTATCGAAGTACAGACCAGTTAAAACCTCAAACGGAGGGTTCCTATATCGCATTCGGAGAATGCTAGGTTTCAGCCTTCATTATGTGACTAGATATGCTGATTTCAACTACAAATTTTTCTGAAAAATGTACGAACCGTACAGAGGTCACCTTTACTTACATTTCCCTTAGTATAAGAGTCCGCAGATGTTGCCGCGTTAACGTGTTTAACAACAATGCGCAAATGTTGCCGCGTTATCTGAGTCTGAGTCTTATGTTACCACCGATGGTCAGTCGGCCAGTCTATCTTGAAATAAAGCACCCATCTGGGGCGTAGGGCAACACAGGATGTCACCGTTTCCTGCTGTCTTTCCCGTGTAATAGTACGTGTACGTCGCAGCGGGAACGTGTTTACTTGTCCGTTACTATGTTCTAAAACTTATTTTTTTTCCCTTGGCACTACAGCCCCAGTGGGCCTAGGCCTACCTCCATGAACTTCTCCGCTGAAACTTATTTACCTATCCGATTTCAACGTTAATCCTGGAAACCAAGGTTCCCCGGTCACTTTTTTTTTTTCGCGGACTGTACTTTGCTCACCTCTGAACCAGGCTAGTCGCTATGTCCCTAACATTTACCTTGAATCAATCTTTATTTCATGAATTTCATGCCCTTTAATGTACGAAGATGTTCCCTCCTGGTCAATATGAACAACTTCTTAAGTAATAGTGAAAACACTGCAGGGTCTCGTTTCGTTTTATGTTGACCTTCAGTATATTACCTATTTCATATTTACAAGGGGATTATAACAACGTAATCCTTGAAGTAACAATGCGATGACGATTGACAAGATAAATAAACGCAACATTTATTACTCAAACATGTTGAATGGTCTCGCAAAGGTTCAAAATACGTACATAATAGTGCTCGGATAATTACAACAATATCCGTGTCTAGTGACAGTCTAATTAATCAGATTGTTATTTTCTTCTTCTTTTTTTTTTTTCTTGGCACTACAGCCCCAGTGGGCCTAGGCCTACCTCCATGAACTCAGTTCACTTCCGTTTTTCTAGATCTTACACATTCGGTAGGACTCCTTGGGCGGGTGATCAGCTCGTCGCAAGGCTGTACACAAACACAGAAAAACGCACACAAACATCCATGCCCTGAGTGGGATTCGAACCCACTATCCCGGCTTCCGAGCGAGCGAAGACAGTACATGCCTTAGACCGCTCGGCTACCGTGACCGGCCAATCAGATTGTTATACGCTAAACGTTATTACTTGGCTCACTTGCATCTTTAAGATCGAGGCGGCCAGCAGTACCTCCGAAACGTCAATGGCTACCAAACTAAAGGCTCCCACACACAGATGCGATACGATTCGGGACGATATAGCACTCGGGACGAAAGCGGTTGTTTACCGAGTGGGCCGCGCACACAGCCGCGACACTCGGGAACCTCGGGAATCTTTGACACCCGATAACCAGCTGGCCATGACTCACACTCAATCAGAATCTATACGTACGTGAAACGACATGGGTAGGCAGATGGAACAAATAATAGAGTTCGTCAAAGAAAATGCTTTATTGTACGATACTCGTCATCCGATGTTCAAGGATTCACGTGCTAAGGATAGAAAGTGGAAGGAATTGGCTGTTACAATGAACAGAGACAGCAAGTAGAAAAATCTGTGTATATTTATATAGGGTTAAGTATACAGTAACTGTGGGCATTCTTAGTGTAGGCTATGCACCAGTTCCGTTCACTAACACGAATTCCAGGGGCAGTCATCTAGTTGAAGTACGCAACAAACCGCTCTCTAATGGCGTAGCTAACGTTT